GCCCGGGGTGGGGCGGAGGGTCCCCCGGAGGAACAGACGGACTCACCGGTGAGGGCGGTAGGGCTGGGGTGGGAGTGGGTGAAGAAGGAGCTGGGAGACCTCTAACGCCCCCCCACGTTACCAGCCCCGGTCCGTGCGTACACAGAGTTTCTCCTGGGCCTCTACTGGTCGTAGCAGCCCAAGGCCTTCTTAGGGAGTGGGTTGCTCCTGTAGGGAGTTGAACCTTTAGAGGCTGCCTAAAAGTTGCTCTTTTGCCGTTGTCTTACGGGCATCTCTCTTTAAGAGAGCGGAACGGATCGCCAAGGGCCATGTGTGTGCCCGGGTGCTACAACCCCTGTGTAGTGCTGAACGTTTCTATTGGTGGCCTCCAGCTGCTGGGAATCCCCTGGTCACAGGGCTCTCTGCTCCCTGCATGTAGGGCTTCAACTTAGTTTTTTTTTATCTGCTGGACCCTTTCTGGTTTGTATCTCTGCAGGTGATTCCTACTAAGAATTTTCTTGTTTACTAGCTAGCCCAGTCCAATCTACCAATGCAAAAGGCCTCTTTTTTTTTGCTGCTTGCTTCTATTCTGCCTGCCATCCCTAATGATAAACAATAAGTACAACTTGTGTATTCTTGTTCTGGTACAGTTTTCTGCAAGAGACAGCCTCCACCTAGTTCTTGAATGGCACAATAGTTATAAGTGGTGTTCTCAAAAGGGACATCTGCTTCTTGCCCTGAAAGCAGTACCACTGAATTTTATCTGCTCTGCTCTGTAATCTAGACTGTTGTCCAAAAGTTTGACATTTAAGTTGTATGCTGCCCAATGATGAATTTATCTGGTTCTTGACAAATCTACAGAAGGAATAACTAAAGCATTTACTTTACATTTATTTTAAAGCGTCTAACTTCTGCTGCATTTATTGTGTGCCTTTGCAGGGTTCAGGACAATCTCTGCTTCCCAGATCTTAAACCATCTGTTAAATTCCTTTTTCTCTGAGGTCGCATGATCTGCTGGTTACAGCAGTTAGATATAAGAATCAGGAATGCTCTTTCTATGTTCTAGCTTCTCTCCCCTCCAGCTTGCTGACTGATGCTGGTTAAGTTGCTTTACAACTAAGTCTCCCTTTCTGTAAAGCACATATATCTACTTTCTTCATTATTACGTACACTATGGCTCCCAACTTGTGATGCAAGTTGTCTGCTCTGCAAATATCCCTTTTGTCCTGCTTATACAAGGTGTGGATAAAGGAGGTACAGTACTATTTGCTAATAGCCTCATTAACCTTATTAAATGCTTTCATTTTTTTTAATTTACCTTCCTTGTTTCTGGCTTTGTAGCAGTTGCTGAGAATGTGTGCTCTGTGGGGGGTACGTGGTAATTTGTGGCACCTTTCCTAGCTGTTCTTACCCTCTGCACTCTTAAGTTGTATCTTTTGTTTTGCAGGATTTGTTCTTGTCCCTTTCAATGGAGAGTGACTGTGTAGATCAATAATGAGGACCAGCCCTCGCAGGCCCTTAATTCTCAAAAGACGAAAACTGTCCCTTCCACAGAAGGATACATCTAGTACTTCAACAAGAGATGAGAACAGTGGTCAGAATGAAAAGACTCCTAAGCAGGAGCACAGCCAACAGGACCAACACAACAGCCAACACAGAGACAAAATGGACCGTGGCATGCAGAAATTTCCAAAAAAAAAAGATAATTGACCATCCTACGATGCCCAACACACAAGTGGTGGCCATCCCTACAAATGCTGATATCCAGAGCATCATAGAGGCACTGACAGTAAAAGGAAAAGAATGTGGCAGCAATGGACCCAACAAGTTCATTCTCATTAGCAGTGGGGGCGCGCCCTTTTCAGCAGGTCAAACACCATCGCAGCGTCTCCCATCACAGAAGAAACCCAGTGCAGCAACCAAGGCTGCAGATGGTCAAGAAAGAGAGAAGAATGTTACGCAGACACCTGGTCTTGCAGGAGGAACAGCGCTCTGGCATTCAGGAATTGATTCTGTGGTTGGACAGGAACAGGAGAGCAACAGTATGTAATCTTTACCCTTTTTTTTTGTGCTGACAGATAGACAAAGAGATGTGAAGTGGGCCAATGAGTGTAGTGCTTGGGTATCAGTATGCAGTAATGCAAACTTTTTTGTTAATTACAAAATAGCTATTGGTTTCATTCTAAGAATCTACACAGCTATGCTTATGTGGTGAAATCTGAAGGATCTTAATGGATATATTTTTGGTGGAAGAGACAGCATGTAACGGTGTATAGCAAAGCAAAATTTTAGTGCTGGGAAAAAAGGTCTGCCTTGAGGAAATCAAGTCTAGAAGAACAAAAGACTTAGTTTCTTTTAGCAAAAGCATTACGGCTGAATTCGAGACTAACGTAAAGTACCCTAGTCAGGGACAAAACATGGGTCAATAGCTTTGAAAATGAGATGATTCCCATCCTTTAATAACTAAGTGGCAAGTCTGTTTCCTCCTTGGCTGTCTCATGATGCTGCTGAATAAATGTTACAAGTGGGATGAATTTTACTTTGAAGCATTGTTCACATCGAATTTGTATTTGCAACTAAAAATACCTATGTAGCTTTTGGGCTGTAGTAAATCATATCTCACAGTATAGTACTGTCTGACAGGAACCCATAAACAGCTGCAATAGCTGCATTGCTACAACCAACCTCACCAGAGATAACAAAACTGTGCTGGTTTTCATAGCTGCAGTTCAAAAACCTGGAAACATCTGAGCTTCTGACTTGGGTCTTTCAGTTGGGGTTTTTCACCGCCTTCTATGGCCTCTGCTTACTAGATTCATCCTTTAGCTAAAAATACTTGAATTCTTGAAGTACTGTATCAACATTGTCCTATTTTGGTTGAGAGAAGTAGTCTGGTTTGAATTTTTTTAAGGCTGAAGCTTTTTTCAGAAATTGAGCAGATTCATGTGAAATCAGGAATTGAAGGCTGAATTAATTCCACAAGAAACGTTAGTATTGTAATATCATCTTGTCTGTACCTTGAGACAGGGATACCTCTTTTGGAAGTGTGCCTTCTATTTGGCACTTGAGATGAAGGGGGAAGAGGGTTACTTGTGAGTAAGCAGAGCTATGGGCTTGTTATTCCAACAGGCAGCGGCGAGACAGTGAGCTCTGTGTTGGACAATAGTCTCACTAACATCCAATGGCTGGGGAAGATGAGATCTGATGGGTTAAGTCCCTGTTCTGTGAAGCAAGACACAGAGAAAGAGAACCAGATGCCTCTGCGGGAAAGAATCAAGGTAAGTAGAAGGCAACAAAGTGTATGCT